TGTCTTTTTTATCTGGATGACGTGATTGTGTTTGCTCCCACTTTTGAAGCGCACCTTGAGAGACTGTCGAAAATTCTTGATGTATTCCGTCTCGCCGGCATTCAGCTGAATTCATCCAAGTGCTGGTTTGGTCGCCGTCGCATTACAATACTTGGACATATTGTTGACGCTTACGGCGTACAGCCTTATCCAGAAAAAGTTCAAGCTGTGAAGGGCTTTCCTGTGCCAAAAACCGCCTAAGATATCCGCAGCTTTGTGGGGCTCTGCTCCTATTTTCGGCGGTTCATCAAGAACTTCGCGGAAATCACTCGGCCCCTAACAGATTTACTCAAACCAGATGAGACGCTTACCTGGGGTTCCTCGCAAGCAGCGGCCTTTTCCGACCTGACCACTTTGCTCACTTCTTCTCCTGTGCTGGCTCACTTCGACCCTACGGCACCGACCGAAGTGCGCACCGATGCCAGCGGTTACGGAATAGGTGCTGTGTTGGCTCAGCGACAACGTGGGTAGCAACGCGTGATAGCTTATGCCAGCAGGCTGCTGTCCACCTCGGAGCGTAATTATTCCATAACAGAGTGCAAATGCCTAGCGCTGGTGTGGGCAGTCGCGAAATTTCACCCTTACTTATACGGCCGACCATTTATAGTTCTCACCGACCACCACGCTCTCTGCGGGGTCGCCTCCCTCAAAGATCCCACAGGTCGTCTCGCCCGCTGGGCACTCCACCTCCAGGAGTATTCTGACACCGTAGTGTACAAATCAGGTAAACTGCACAAAGATGTAGATTGTCTGTCACGCTACCCTGTGGCCGACTGCGATCCTACGAGCACTGATTCTGTGGGCTGCGTCCTTTCCATCTCCCAGCTGCTTCATCTCGGGGACGAGCAGCGTCGCGATCCGGATATCAGCCGCCTAATACAACAGCTCGAATCTTCACCGCAAGACGCTTCTGTTCGCATGTTTACCTTAAAGGACCACACCTTATATCGGCGTAATTTATCGCCCAATGGTCACGACCAACTTCTGGTCATACCAAAGCACCTGCGTTCCACAGTCCTACGCGAGCCCCATGACGCGCCAACCACGGGTCTCCTTGGTGTCTCTCGCACATATGACCGTGTCCGCCGCCGCCTCTACTGGCCTCGCTTTTCACGCTCTGTACGTCGCTATGTCAACGCTTGTGAAATTTGCCAGCGTCGCGCCCCGCCGCGGTGGTCTAGTGGCTAAGGTACTCGGCTTCTGACCCGCAGGTCGCGGGTTCGATTCGCGGCTGCGGCGGCTGCATTTCCAATGGAGGCGGAAATGTTGTAGGCCCGTGTGCTCAGATTCGGGTGCACGTTGAAGAACCCCAGGTGGTCGAAATTTCTGAAGTGCTCCACTACGGCGTCTTTCATAATTATATGGTGGTTTTGGGACGTCAAACCCCAGATATCGTTTGATCAATCAATTCTTATTTATGTTGAAGGTGTGCAATGTCACACCCATTAATTTTTTCTAGATAGAATCTGCGAGAAAAAACATACAAAATAACCATCCTTTAAACAACCAGATCGTCGAGCGATTATGAACTCATGTTCTACTTGCCTTGAACTGGGAAACATGAGCACGATGTGAAGTATTTGGTCACTATACACCTTTTTTCATATACTAGCATCCTTTTCGAAGGTAAACACCTTGATAATAGCAGGGATAACGAACATCAAACGTGCGAAGCCGCGTCATTCATTAAGGTTGAATATTTGTAAGCCTGGTATTGTCGTCAATTAGAAACGTACATTTTTAGGCATGCTCAATAATCCACAAACTTTGAACTTGCTCTGTGTTAATGATGCGCTTGCACGTCTCCAGCGGTGAACCGCTTCGTTTTCAACACTCAACATATACTCATCGTGGATGAAGTAATGCTGTGTACGCTTTATGGCTCGCGACTAAGTTTAATTGATGTGTATGGGGCGTTTAACATCCCAAAACCACCATATGGTTATAAGAGACACCGTAGTAAAAGGGCTCCGGAAATTTCGACCACCTAGGGGTTTTTCAACACGCACCCAAATCCGGGCACACGGGCCTACAGAATTTTCGCTACCACTATAAATGCAGCCACCGCCGCTGGGTTTCGATCCCGCGATGGTCAGAAGCCGAGTACCTTAGCCACTAGGCCACCGCGGTGGGGTGCAAACTAAGTTTACATTTTCAATCATTATCGTGACCTGCAGCGCTAACTTCAGTGTGAAATATGAAAGAAAAAAGTAGTTATGCACTTGCTGACCTGAAGCCAAAAATCAAGACGAATAAGCTACTACTGCCAAGAATATGCATGCCCAAATTATTCGCACTGAGGACATTGCTCAACATAATTTTTTTTATCCTATACTACGTTTTAAAAGCTGTTGACATCATTGTGGAAGGTACAGACACTTTCACCCAATTATGGAAATCATGACTGTGTAGAAGTAGCTGTACTATAAAATTACCCTCTGTAATTTTTGTGGCATATGGCGTTTTGTACCTTTGTGTTCTGTTTGCTTACTTTCAGCGGAATGGCCAGCGTCAATAAATCAAGCGCGGCTTTTTTCATTCATTATTTTTAACGGTTCTTGGGGGTTCTTGTCACGTTCAACTTTTTTTTCATTTGTTGATGTGTGTATAAGAACACTTACTTAAGTCACTAAATGAATTAGAAAACGAATGAATGAATCAAATTATCTCAAGCATTATTTTCACTTCCCATCGGTCACTTTCTTCATTGCTTCTCTTAGCAGAGTATGGACATTTTTAATAAACGTATTCTTTGCCGCTCTAAGGGGTTCCGCTGGCAGTGGTAGAAAGGTAGGTGCACAACAAGGGGAGTAGCAGTCTCATCAATGCAGTCCAAATGATAGCGGTCTCCGCTTGCGTGCACGCAATTGACAAAATTCATGAGCTCCGCCATCACAACACAGCCAGGCTTTTATGTGTTTGTACGCTATGCATGGCACCTTTTCCTGATTCAAAGAGCGATGTGGCGCCTTATTCATGGCTATAACACTGCCATGTGGTTGTAGGAGTGGAAGCAGCTTCTGGGTTTTGCCACTAAGGTCTCTAAGAGCAGTCGGCAAACCAGATTGACATGCTTCCTGCGTAGATTGGACATTGCCGTCTATCCACAAATGGCTCTATCAATAATATATATGAATTTATGTGCCGAAATCACGATTTTATTATCAGGTACCCCACAGTGGAGGGTTTCCGAAGTTTCCAATATCAAATGTTAATGCGCACCATTATCCTGCAGTACACGCTTTCAGTATTTTGCATCCTCATATATGCGACCGCCACTGCCGAGGTTAGACCGCTAAATTTTTTTTATTCTTCAGTGGACCGACGTAAGCACTGCACCATCTAGGCGAAAAGGAGCGTATACAACTGTCATCACCGATATTTCTTAACTAGCCGTCATCATTTTCCTCATTCTTGGGGCACAGATAAGCACATCTCTGCCACGGCTGGCTCCTTCCAAATGGTAATTCAGGAATGGCTGTGGAGACAAGTAATGCCTAACCATCAGGAATAGGCGATAGTGCCACGTGCATGTGATAAGGATAGAATAGCGACATGTTTTCAATGCTTCTGCTGTCATGGGTTCATCTGTATTTTTTTCTGACCTCATTATATATGGCTTCGTTTTTCAAATGTTTCCATATTAACCTTGTTCATTAAATCTGAGTGTGGTTGTTCACTGTTTTTACTATTTTGTTAGTTTATACGTTAAGTAGGTGGCGTACTTCTGTTCAAACATTGTGAAACAGCCCAGTGTGTGAGGTGGCCAAGTTCACGTCAAGCTGCTCAATGCAAGTTTTGGGCCTCGTCATCCTCGCGCTCTTGTTGCAAAATAAACACAATTTAAAATAAGGCACAAACCCACATAAGAGGAAGTTGTAAGTGCGAGGTGTTAAATAGGGATTACCATTTAACTATTTCCGTCAATTTGTGTTCTCTAAGCTCTCTTTATTTTCACGACAATAATGATGTTATAATTTGTGTGGTACATGTATAAAGATCGGCAGAGTACAATGTGCACACTGCGCGGCAATGAAACACCCAAGTATACGCGCGGGACTTCTTTGCTACAGGTCTCAAGCATCTCGTATTCATTGCAGTGTGATATTACGCTCTGCTTGCTTTAACGAAGAAGCTGCAGTTTGTCTAGCCGTTAATGTACGGTGCCTTTTGTATAGATCGTAGGTAGTAGTACGACTTACCAACAGAGGTCGCTAAATCTCACTATTGTATATATGTCACTCTTTCTACAGGTCCAACTACGCATTCTTCCCATAACTCACCATTGCAGTCAGTTCAAATGTTGCTACTCATCACACTGTGTTCAAACAACCTACTTCATCCCACATCACTGAACCCCACTTAGCGGCAATCGTTTCGCTGTGTCATCAGTTTCCGCCGAGCAGACCTGGCTTTTTTTCGTGGTGTTTACTTTTGCACAATCACGATTCATGACATCACATTGTAGACTAAAACGTTTAGTGTAGTGCGGCAACACAGTTAACTCTTACTACTTTAGTTCACTGTAAAAACTGTAGGAAAGAATTTACTTATTTGAAAGTTCCCTGAACTGAACATTCAGTAGAATATGGTAAAGCAGTGGGCACAGTAGACGCGCACACGTGACAATAATGTTTTGTCATGAAAAGTTACCGCCAAATGGTCGTTCATTCGTTACAATCCAGGAAGCTATTTTGCTGCCATCATGCGGAACATGGCTTAATTGTTTTCAATAGCGACGCACCAGTGGTAAGCCCTGGCTCGCTACGCACACACACCTCGTGGTAAAAGACCAGTTCGAAGATCTTCGCCCCCAAAGGATGTCATCAGTAGAATTAGTTTGGGGTCTATATATCTCTGAAATGGTTGTCACTGCTGTGGGGGAGCATCTTGTCTGCGTACTATTTTGAAGATATGATGTAACTTTATTTTTTTTTCTACTGCAGAAAAAAATTACATAGACAGTCGTGTAATAATTCTGCTGTGGCAACACTCGTAACTTGAGCACCTATAACGAGAGTTCATTTGTCCCGGCATTTGTTAGTAACCCAGAGGCAAAAATACATTTTTCTTCTTCGCTGTTTCGCATCTTGGTGACACGACTGGTTTTCTCCCCAACACCTTCGTCGTTGTGAAGCAAAGTCGAACCACCATTTTTGCTTTCTTTGTCAACCTAAAGTGAAGACAAAATGGCAGAACGGTATTAGTGAACCATCGTGCAGCTGCTTATCATGCTGTAAAGGTGCCTCTACAAGTGCTGGAAGCAGCACAATAATATGACTGCTAGAGGTGTGTGCATGAGCGACGCAAGGAGACGCACCTTGCTATTGACGTGTGAGGTTCGTATGCGGATACATGGCTGCTTATAGGTGAGAGTATGAGATCTCTTATTGTAACATCAAGGACACATCCATCGCCATTACGTTATGCGTGCGCGCGCGCGCGCACGCACGCACGCACACACACACACACACACAGACAGACACGCGCACGCGCGCACGCACGCACGCACGCACACGCAAACACGCGCACACGCAAACACGCACACACACACACACACTCACACACACACACCTTACCTGGTTCAAATAATGCGTGTATCCAGGAGAACATGCAGGCTAAACGTTGGAACAATTCATGTCGCTATAGTTATTATTTCGACAAATAGATTTGTTTTCGTAAGGGCAGTACGACAGAAACATTAAGGCCACAACTACTGTCTTAATGGACACAAGCTCACTTCTCAAAACGCTGACTGCACATTTTTCAACCTGAAGTTTTGTCTGCTCAACCCAGAAAGCGGGAATACATGGTAAGTTCTAAGCATTCACAAGTACTGATAAGAGCTGCGTGGACTATATAACTAACAAAGTTAGCGAATCGGCAACGCAAAATTCAGTCACCTTAAACTTGCATACCTCAGAGGGCGCCTCACTGTGGCCCCATAACAAGCTCTAGTGAGAGGCTGGCAGTTGTGTGCTCAACAAAGATCATTAGGCCACCAGAATATTTCAATAGATTCGTTACGAGCTGACAGAGAATGTTGAAGCGGCGCGAAACCATGGTGTGGGGGGGTGAGCTCAAAACCTTTGGCACTCACTCCGCGTAGCCTACGGAGGTCAAATATTTCCCTACCCTCTCCGGCATCACAGTGAATGGTCAAGTGCGCATGATGTTTCCAATCGAGCCCAACCCTCGAGCACGCGAGCGGTGTTTCTTTGTTGACCAGTGTTGTTTTGTTGTCTACTGCCTGTTTTTGCGGCATGTATGCCTCCGTGCATGCTCGTTTCGACGTATACGCGGTGAAATAGATGAGCGCAATGAGGGTTCGAAAGCGCAGAACCATTATTTCATATCCAGGGCTGACGTCTATCTGATGCGTTAACCCCGGTGAATAAGTGATTGAGTGAGAACTTTATTATGGTCCAGTGCAGCCGGTGGTGTTGCCACGCAACTCGCGGCTACGCTCACGTGGAGACGAGTAGGTCTAGCCTGACGGCCCTGTCATGGGCACACTGGATGGCAAGGATTTGGTCCTGAAGTTATGGGCTGCGCAGAAGTGCATCCCACTCGGCTTTGCTAAAAGTCGGTCCAAGCGACCCGTCCTCCCAGAGCATGTGTGCTAATGTAATGGTCTGCCACAAGCGGCGCAGTTTGCGTCGGAGAACTTGTGAGGATAAACTCCATCTAGGTATGCTAACGACGGGTACGAATGGGCATGAACGCATGCACATTAGTCATTGTAATTCACAAGAAAAATTAAAAAGCACGCGCGTTCTTATTTTGTTTCCCAATATATATATATATATATATATATATATATATATATATATATATATATATATATATATATATATATATATAGTTTTATTAATCTATTCAAGCAACAAATTGCATGAACTACACATGTGATATGGAATAAGTTTCGCTGTGTAACCTGCTACTGCTGGGCCCGCCACGGTGGTCTAGCGGCTGAGGTACTCGGCTGCTGACCCGCAGGTAGCGGGATCCAATCCCGGCTGCGGCGGCTGCATTTCTGATGGAGGCGGAAATGTTGTAGGCCTGTGTGCTCATATTTGAGTGCACGTTAAAGTACCCCTGGTGGTCCAAATTTCCGGAGCCCTCCACTACGGCGTCTTTCATAATCATATGGTGGTTTTGGGACGTCAAACCCCACATATCAATCAACTTGCTACTGCTGGCCACAGCAGAGCACATTGGACTGACGTCACATCACTGCTGTCTACGTAGGGCGATTCCTACGGCTAAGCCATGCCCTCATTAGACATGTTTAGTTGCGCGTCCAACGCATCCTGCTAGCCATTTTCAATTACGGATCAGGTTCGTACTGGTGCCCACATGCAACTAAATCTGTCTATTCTGTGGGCCTGCGCCCGCAAAAGGAAGGGCAAGTGACGTTGATCTGGAATTTGACCCATTTCCGCGGCGCGTAGCGCTGCAAATTTTTGCAGACATGATCGTTAACGTCCCATGTATGCATTGAACTCGTCCGCTTAAAATAGTCGCACCTGGTGAGTGACCCTGAACCAACCAAACATATGAGAACGTTGTTACATTAAGTACTCATTTCGTCCAATTCAATCATTTCTTTTGCATGCCCTTACTTTCTACTTCCTGTGTCTCATTAAATTTTTATTTATTTTTTTACTTTTTAAACATAAATATGTCGGCCAGTAACAGCCGCTTGCCAGACCATGGCAAGGCAACTTGATGTAAAGGCGCTAAATATGTTATGCTATAGCCTTTTAAAAGGAAAACTTTACTTGTCTACTCGACTGAGTTCCCCTGTGCATCTCCATGTGGCCTTGAAACAAGGAAGGATTATATCGGGATAATACACGCAGAACTTGATTGTTGAGTTGCTGTTGTACGTAAGGCTGCAGCGAACGAGTTCATCGGCTGGTGTGTCTACCTCTTTGAATATCCACGTCGTTCAAGGTTAACATGGAAGTAGCATGGTCACAACTTTTCTTACAGAGCTATATTGCGTGCACATTGCCGCCAGTGCATGTAGTTGCACATTAGCGCCCGTATTATCAACGTGAAATATGAAAGTTTTTCCTCTATTTTCTACGTGGAGCTATTTTAGACAAGATTCAGCTCACCCGAGTAAGATATTCATTTTTAGGGGCGAAGCTCCTTAAAGCGGCACCTGTAGTGTGTAACAAGTGTTACATTTGACCTACAAGGTGGTGGCGGTGGGAGATTTCTCCTGTGCTTTGTTGAACAATGAAAAGTTCGTGGCGTGCGCGTTAACTAAAAGCCGAATGCTCCTGTCTCTCATTCCCCATTAGCAGCCATTGGCATGTTCAGTAGGAAACGTTAGTAGAAGTAGAAGTGTTAAAAGCCGACTTCTGCTGTCTCTCATTCCCAGTAGCGGCCATTGTTTACCTCCAAGGTAGTGCCTGGTAAGATTTCTCCTGTGTGTGATTAAAGAACAAAAAATTTTTGTCCAACACGCCGTTGATTCATGAAATAAACCAACGAAAGACGTCAGATGTCTTCTAAAAGCAAAACGAAAGGACGCCAGATGTTTCTAAAGCAAAACAAAAAGAAGACGCAAGCTGCTTAACGAAAGACGCCAGGTGTTTTTTTATCGGGCGAATTAACGGAAGAACATTTCACGGTATTACTTCCAGGAGCTTCGCCCAATCTCATCATCATTCACCTCGTGGATCTGCCGTCAATTTTTTTTAATTTATTCGTGTTGACTTCACCTTTTTGAACGCGTGAGAAATTTCCACCTTTTTACGTGTACCTCTAACGCTGAGTGGCCTATTCGTATGCGTCTGCATAAAAAGCTAATTGTGCGCCCCCGTCCTTCCTACAGCATTGTGAGACGCGCGCCCAAGAACTACTATACGTAATGCGACATTTGCAGAAGCTCCGCCTCGTGGTCGAAATTTCCGGAGCCCTCCACTACGGCGTCTCTCATAATCAAATGGTGGTTTTGGGACGTTAAACCCCACAAATCAATGAGAAGCTCCGCCTCCTGATGGTGCGTCCCCGTCCTTCACACAGCGTTACGAGACACGCGCCCAATAGGACTACTTCGCGTAATGTGGCGTTTGAAGACGCTCCACCCCCTCAGCTCCTTCTTCAGTGCCAAAAAAAGTTGTCAAGGGCACTTTACAGAGAAACACGTGAGTGCGAGCGTCTGTTGGTAGTTTAGCTGCCTGGCGTGTTTCGCGTCAGCAGCAGCGACAGTCACACAGTGTAACAAAACAATGGTAATGAGTGCACGTAGTATGTTTGCTGGCAAACTGCGTTTCGGCTACGATGACAAACACGTGTAGCCAAGTAAGCAAGTTGGTAATTGCACAACTGTGCCTAGTCGAGCTTAATCATACACATTTCTTGTTTCTGAATTGTCGATGCGCCTACACTTTCGCGGCCATCATGTCAAAACTACATAGATTTTATGCAGTAACGTTCGCAGATGATATTTGTCATTGTATTGAAATAACCACCGTTATATTCCACGTGTTTTAGACGCTGCATAGCAATCGTCTTTTTTGCGCCTTTAGAGTTCCACAATATTAACAGGTATTGTTGTGCTCACCTGAATTATGTTAGCAAAAAACTTGAAGCGCCTCCACAGGTTTAAGAAGAGTGGACTTGTCAGACTCACGTTGTTTCCGCATGCTTTGACTCCACCTTTAGAACTCAAAAGAATATGTACTGTTGAACACACACGATGCACGTACAAGGTATAATCTCAAAGTGAACCCACACTATTGATTCTGTTCATGACAATAACTTCCTCGGTGAAGATGAGAAATGTTTAGTGGGCATATTATAGCCTGACCTGATCAAGCTGTGCAGTACAAGGCCCTTCTCGTACCGGATGAGAAGTGCGGTATCAGAAAATTTGACGGTGAGATCTACAGTCAAGCCAGTTTGGAGGAAGAGTATGAAAGAATGCTTAACGTAATACGCTGTAGTCGGTTGTGCAGTATAAAAATAGTGAAGAAAGGCATAGCTGATCCTTTTGGGATAGAGATCGGTCGAATACAAAAGGGAAGCGTGTCTTCACAAAGTCAGTTGATCGTTTATTGTGCATTCATTTGACACAAGGCCAAATGAGTGAAAGATTCTGCTACAGAATGTAACGTTTGGCGAACAACTCAAAACTTAAAACGTGCACCTCATGCAGAAAAGAAACCCACAAAATGAGCATACACTGGTAGATCGCAGACTATCAAGGGCCACAGCAAGGGAGCGGTGTACCTCCGTGCCTCCAGAAGCACGGAGGCGCGAACATGAAGGCTCCCTAGACACGGCTCTACACGCAAAGCACGCTGCCTAAACACAAAGAAACAAGCACGAATCGACCGCTCCAGTTAACCCAAGACGAGCAAAAACAACTGTCTGAATCGTTACTTGGTGTGTGAGCAGCGCGCTTTTTTCGTAAACGTGGCCGCTGCAGCGAGCGAAGTGACCTTCGTGCACTGTAACATGAAAGTTAATTTCCAGTGGAACACGCGTGCTCAAATTTAGGTGCATGGTTAAGAAGTCCAGCTGGTCGAAATTTCCGGAGCCCTTCCACTACGGTGTTTCTTCCAATGATATAAAGCTTTTGGGACGTTTTACCCAACATATCAGTCAATCAAACTTCAAGTGAAAGCACAAGGCGTACAAAGCGCCCCAACTACGAGATAAGTGTGCGTGCATGATTGACCACGCAATGTAGAGGTGTGCGCGCATCGCAACGAGAGGGACGAGGACAGTAAGAGCGCAGCTTCGCGTCGCCTTCAATCTATCTCGCTATATAAGGGACAAAAATACGCTGAATTCGCTGAGCCCTGGGGACCGCCAACAGTGCATGGTCTATATGAATATAGTATATGGTGTATATAAATAGATTACCGACGCTCAAAAACAGTCGCACCATGGCCGAGTGGTTTCGGGCCACGCTAGCGAGCAAGAGGTCGTAGGTTCGAACGCCCGGCGACGGAACCTCTTGTTCTACGTTCTCCTTCGCATGCTTCTAGTTTATAATTTACATCATATCCTTGACAGACAAACGTCAAGAGATCCGTGGTGTTCCACCGCATAAAAAATTTTCATGTTAAAATAAATTATTTTAAGAAGAATACAACGCTAAGCGTCGACATAGGTGTCTGATAGTAGCACTCGCCCTATGGTGTTCTTGTGCTATGGTAATGCCGCGGCAGGTTGGCCACGTTCAAGTAGCCTGCCCCAATCATCGTGACACGAGCACCAGGCAAGACTCGGCTGGCATGCGCCACACGTTCGTGCGCTCGGGCTACAAGGAAGAGGAAGATAGTTGGAGCTGTGCAGCTCAGCTACTCTGACTTCGACGACCATAGTCATTAGACTCGTGGGCACAAGTTCGCCCCAATTAAAGATTTGTTTTTTAGCCTGTCTGCCTCAGCATCGCTACAGTATATACATTGGTTTAGTCTGGACACACCACATGGCGAAATGAAAATAGGAGGGCACGTAAAAGCAAGCGTGTCGGGAATATTGACCAAACTACGTTGCTACTAATCCGTGCTGCAACCCCCCATCCTCCCCACACCCAGAAAAAATGTCTGCTTTCACATGAAATTTATACAAGTAATATTCATTCTTATTCACAACACATAATTATTCTGCACCTTAGGCGAGCTTAGAATTCTGTGATATTACCTGTATAGATTATAGCCAACTTGGACCGAAATAACCGATTAGGAGCCATTTTTTTACCTCTAGACATTAACAGCGGGATGTGGAATCCAAGCTGGCCCTATGACGCATAAATACAAATAACTATTATCATGAGCCCCCACCCACTTTCTTCATCCACTTCTTTCTCTTCTCCGTCGTCTGCTCCGCTTGCAGAACACAAGTGCGCGCTCATTTGACAAACGTGGAATGCAATAATTCTGATGAGTGACAGAGTGTGAGAGAGAAAGAGAAGAAAAAAATTGTGAAAGAAGGAAGAAACAAAGGAAGAAACAGACTTCACGTCCTATCTATCTATCTATCTATCTATCTATCTATCTATCTATCTATCTATCTATCTATCTATCTATCTATCTATCTATCTGTCTATCTGTCTGTCTATCTGTCTGTCTATCTGTCTGTCTATCTGTCTGTCTGTCTGTCTGTCTGTCTGTCTGTCTGTCTGTCTGTCTGTCTGTCTGTCTGTCTGTGACTTCAAGAGAAAATCTGACAGGTCCGGGTAATTTTCGTATTGAATGAAGTTAAAGGTAGCACATGTTGAAAAGGTGAACGCGTTTACTAATGTTTCAGCCGTGGCATGACCTTCGTCAGAGTCACACTCTAAATATATATATATATATATATGTATATATATATATATATATATATATATATATATATATATATATATATATATATATATATATATATATATATATATATATATAGTTTTCAGAAGCCTAGAATGGGAACATTTAGGGATAAGAGTTAATAGAGAATACCTTAGTAACCTGCGCTTCGCCGATGACATTGCATTGCTGAGTAACTCAGGGGACGAATTGCAACTCATGATTAAGGAGTTAGACAAGGAGAGCAGAAAGGTGGGCCTTAAAATTAATCTTCAGAAAACGAATGTAATGTACAACAACCTCGGAAAGGAGCAGCGCTTCGAGATAGGTAAAAGTGCACTTGAAGTTGTAAAAGACTATGTCTACTTAGGGCAGGTAATAACCGCAGAGCCGAACCACGAGATTGAAGTAACTAGAAGAATAAGAATGGGGTGGAGCACATTGGGCAAGCACTTCCAAATTATGACAGGTAGATTGCCACTATCCCTCAAGAGGAAGGTATATAACAGCTGTATCTTGCCGGTACTTAGCTACGGAGCAGAAACCTGGAGACTTACAAAGAGGGTTAAGCTTAAATTGAGGACGACGCAGCGATCAATGGAAAGAAAAATGGTAGGTGTAACCTTAAGAGACAAGAAGAGAGCAGAGTAGATTAGGGGACAAACGGGGGTTAAGGATATCATAGTTGAAATAAAGAAGAGGAAATGAACATGGGCCGGGCATGTAGCGCGTAGACAGGATAACCGCTAGTCATTAAGGGTAACTAACTGGATTCCCTAAGAAGGGAAGCGGCTTAGGGGGAGACAGAAGGTTAGGTGGGCAGATGAGATTAAGAAGTTTGCGGGTATAAATTGGCAGCAGCAAGTGTGTATGTGTGTGTGTGTGCTGGCAATAAAACATGTTTTTCTGAAAACTCGGCAGGTCGGCTTCTGCACATTTCGAAGAGAAGCAAATATAATTCGTTCCTTGAGCCGCTGAAATCTGGTGCGATTATCACTGAATGAAGCTGATATTTGCTTACCAGCAGCGTAAAATATCACCATTTCGACACAAGCGCCTTTAGCTATTTCGCTTCATTCTTTGGTGGACACTACTGATAGCTATGTCGCGCGGAAATATTAGCCTCAGTGATTTTCCCAAAGTGACCAGCTGCTTACCTGTTAAGACGCCCAAAGCTGTTCCAAGCAGGATTGTCAGTAGGGCACCAATGAATGAGCTCCAAAAGAACGAGAGTTCATACAGAGGAAATATGTGGGATCTGTAGAAAACAACAAAATAAAGACGCAATATCAGACCTTTCATTCAGCAGGCTGCAGGTCACAGATGACGTTGCCTCAAGATTGACCAAATATAGAAGGCTGAGACTTTTCCTAGGTAACTCTAACAATATGGCGAAGTGCAGTGACGTTTTTATGCACTATTGTTCTTCATCATTTACATTATCTTTATTCTCGAGTCATGTTTATCACACTCACTTTCCGTCGTGGTGGCGTTCTGTCTAGGGTTCTTCTGAAGCTCACAGGATCGAATCCCGCTCTCGGCGGCGGCTTTTCCATGTAGGCGAAACTTTTTACATTGGTGTACTTAGTTGTAGGGTGGGTTTTTAAAAAAGCCCGAAGTGTTCTAAATTTTGAAGTCCTCCTGGAAATTATGTATCGACAAGTGTCAGCTATATTAGTGATTCCGTTTGAGTGGCTCCTGTCATCGTGCATTTCCATGCGTGAAATTTTTGAATTGCCACATTTTTGCACAGCTCAATGCATCGTGCTGCATTACATAATTTCGCAGTGCCAATCTTAAATGTAAGGCCTACCATTCGTCATGTTTTCGTTAGAAAAATTAATTTTAATGAAAGAGGAATACCCAACTGACAAACCGATTTACTCACACACACATACACCTAATATAATATTGAAACGCGCTAGCGAAGATTCGACGAAGAGGAGGAAAGGTCGGCAGGTAGAGAATTTCGGCAGACATCGACGGTGGCAACAGTCGTGACGTTGGCCAGACGTCCGAACTTCGATGTGATGCGACGAGTTTTAAGAGCCTCGAAGCTTCGGCAGTGGTTAATCACGTCGGCCACGCATTCCAGGGTCTCCTTGCCAATGAGGAAGTGGTAGACGTCATCGGCGATGCCCTTCAGTATATGGCCCACTTTGTCTTCTTCCGTCATGTGGGCATCCACCGACTTGCACAACTTCAGAATCTCTTCAATGTGGGTTCTGCATGTCTCACCGGTGACTTGAGCCCTCTGCGACAACGTCTGCTCGGCACGTTTCTTCTTCGTTGCTGGGTCTCCAAAGCATTTCTTGATTTCCTCCACAAACTGGTCCCAGGTTGTCAATGTGTCTTCATGGTTCTCAAATCATACCAGCGCCGTGAAATCGAGGAAGAGCCCCACGTGAGACAGCTGGCTAGCCGCATTCCAACCGTTCGATCGGCTCACCCGCTGATAGTGGCTTAGCCATTCGTCCACGTCATCGCCAGGTTTCCCTGTGAAGGTTCGCGGCTCCCTGTAGTGGTAGGGCGACGTCCTTGCGGCTGGTTGCTGGTTGTCTCCGTCCGAGCTCATTTCTTGAGGTAATGGTGCCAAGCCCGCTAGTCGACGGCTGCGGCGAAGCTGGTGTAGCGGTTCCGTCGTCAGGGGACGGTGCCTCTCCGGTATCACTTGGTAGTAGCTAGCTTACCCAGCACCTCCACCACAATTGTGACGATGGAACGCGTTTATTTACAAGATGGGTAATGCAGAGGTGTAGCCCATCGAAGGATCAACAGCGTCGCTCGCGAGCCAGTCGAGTCTCTTCCTCCTCTTCGTCGAATCTTCACTAGCGCGTTTCAATATATATAAACACAGACGTGTGTATGTGCTTCTTTTTCCTATTTATTTATCATTTATTTATTGCGCAACGCACCTGTGTATTCACAAACCACTGCACCACGTGTCAAAACAAATTTTGAATACGCTACTTGGCTTTATCTTGTTTTCACACTACCATCGTAATACCTAAGCGTGGGAGTGGACTGGCCTTGCAGCCACTTTTATGTCATTTCAGCGTGGTGCCATAACTGATCATCAAGAATTATGTCTTTTTTGTACATCCACGTGTCTTTCTTGCTTTATTTGTAGAACCCATTTACCACATCTACAAACCTGCTTGGCCCCACAGTGTGTGGTGGGGCTCCGAGATTTTCAGTGCCGAGACTACTGTTCTTTTCAAGAAGAGGGCACCGATCTATTGTGCCCACAAACGCCGGTGCTGGTGGCTTAGAGAAAAAGCTCTTCCCAACCGCGTGCCACAACTGGAGCAAACAGACCACCATGCTCGACCAAGCAGCACCCTGCAAAATTCGTCCATATGTAACTATACACTTTCAATCAATTCATCAAAATTATTGTGACAGTTGGTTCATATCCTACGTAAGCATATGCTTCGATGTCATACGTAACCAATACACGCTTCACTTCAGCAGAAAAAGTCGATAAAGAATTCTATCAGGCCAGTTGGTATGACGGGACTGACTTGCGCATGTGGTTTTTGTTGTTTTGCCTTTTATTATTTTTTCTCTTTCATTCCCTTTACAAACTTTGACGTTTGGAATAAACGTTAGGTTGAAGTTAAGTGCTTGTGTTGTGTGTTTCGTTTAATAGTTGCTGCGCTTCCTACCAAGATAGAAAAAAAATCCGCCATATCCACGAAGTGAATGATGATGAGTGGGCGAAGCTCCGGAGGTAAACCTGGTAAACCATGAATCCTCTGTACATTTTGCCCACTCGATTTTATTACATCACTCCCCCTGGCGTACGTCACCGCACTAAATCGAACGATTGCCTTCAACCAATGACACGCGCCATATGTGACATCATTCCTATTTTATAAGATCTCGCGTCTCTCATCAACTACAAGTACCGCTTTCTAGTTTATAACATCTTGCATCTTTTCATCATCAGCTACAAGTACCACCATATAGTAAACACTACAAGAACTAAACGAGAGGTGGCTACATACAGGAGACGGTACCGCCATCTAGTGAACACTGCAAGAACTAAACTAGAGGCGGCTACATACAGGGGACGGTACCGCCATCTAGTGAACACTGCAAGAACTAAACTAGAGGTGGCTACATACAGGCTACAGGGGACGCACAGCCCACGCCCTAAGGAGCTTCGTCCCTAAAAGTCAATATTGGTCAGTATCATATTTGTAGAAATACATTGTCTCAATATTGAAAAACAAAAAGAAAACAGGCTGTGCGTGCTCCACCAGTTGTGCTCAGAAGGTAGTCTAAAATTTCACGTGTTGCTCGGGCCACCAGTATTACGCTTAAAATAAAATTTACCACTTTCGTTCGCATTTTTTTTTTCAATATACAAGACGTGTAATATTTAATCTTTGGTATTGTTCGGAGAGAACCCATCTATGTTGTGTTCAGAACGTCTCTTATACGAGGCAAGCATACACTCCTCTAAACGAAGACGATAAGCAAGCTAGAATGTGAGGTGCGCGCTAGGGTAGTGAGGGTTGTGGTGCCTTCCGCAATGTACTTTGGATAAATTCCTAGGTGTAATTATTGTGGACGTCTAATGACAATATAGCGCACATAGACGCCTACCAGCGAGGAACACACACATAATACTGCTAAGGGGCCCCCTCGTGTGTGCGTGCGCGCGTGTTTGTGTGCGTGTGTATGTGTGTGTATGTGTGTGTGTGTGTGTGTGTGCGTGTGTGTGTGTGTGTGTGCGTGCGTGTGTGTGCGTGTGCGTGCGTGTGTGCGTGGTGTGTGTGTGTGTGTGTGTGTGTGTGTGTGTGTGTGTGTGTGTGTGTCATAAACGCGCGCGCACACGCGCGCGTTTATAAGCATTCCCGAGGCTAAGGTGGTGCATGTGTGTTTTTAGCTACATGCAATGGAATACTATTGCATAGAGTTGCAGCCACGAAAGTCCACACTACATCATCACGACAGATAGCTTCCCTTTGAGCCATGCTCTCGAGATTCCCGAAAAAGAGGCTTTCCTTTTTTTTGGTTCATGTCACACTGAGACAAACCGAACTAGACATACCTTTGCATTGACCCAGGGAGAGGATATGGCTAGAAGGATGAGACCGGCGAACGGACCTGAGGCCGATGCGTACAGGGAGAGGAAGAGCTGTGGCAGAGTAAATATATTTATTTACTGTGCAGTATATTATATAATCCAGCTGAAAGTCAACATGGCATTTTAAATTACATACCTGCGTGGCTGTACCCATCAATGGAACAGCGATGGCAAACAAGGTCATGATGCTTCCACTTGCGAACGCTGGAAAAATTATTATCCCCATACTAATGTAACTGCCAGGCTCACAGCTTCAGCAAATCTACACGGAATATGATATAGCGTTTTCACAAAGGGAAACGGTGGGGAAAAAAAAGCTGGGACACGTTGTTTTTTGAAAGCGAGGTAAGCTTCACAAACCTCACTAACTATACTCAAAACCCTTATTTGCTTTCATGTAATGACTAGTTTTATCATGTTCTGCCAGGCTGGATTAACTTACGTGATGTTTTGTCACTGAGCGTGAGTGCCTTTCTTCCAAATAGTCCTTGAACAGGATGTCAAGAAGCACTCTTTCGAAACTCCCAGTATAAGCCTCAGCTATAGTGAAGTAGAGTTCACCACAGCCTCAGCTAAGGGGAACGCTGGGGGCGGGTGGTGATATCTTTCCTTTAAAAGCTAAGCTTAAATTCTCCGCGCCGATTGTGTAACCTGGTATGCGCCGAAAAGCAACCGTTACCCTAGCCTCAGTCCCCGAAGGAGACAGTCCACGCAGCCGCCTCAACGAGTTTACCAGGCGGATGCTTGCCGAAAACGTGCGACAAACCATCCGTCCAGTTACCGGGGTGCATGAGCAGGGTTTGCGCATCAGTTTCTGAACCTGTAATTGAGACATTATCACACTGTCTGTGATGGGCTGCGGTTCGACACCGCTATATGTACGCCAATCAAATAGCTAATATTCACCAAGATGGCCGCATAAGACCCCTCAGGTCAACCAGCTTCAATTTCTCTTCAGCTTGGCGTGGTCGTGGTAAACTGCTTCGTTTTTTATACATCTCAGCGTGATCAAAGTGCTTTTCTAATCTAAGACCTGCTTTTTAGAATCACCGTAATCACCCAAGAGTGCCCGAACACGTCTCAGTGGTGCCGGAAAAACAGCGCGAAAGCAAAAGGCTTGTTGGAAGTGAAAGCTTCTCACTTCATCTACCTTCAAGGCGTGTATGAATGTGTTGCGGGTCAGCATTTTTTATTGCTCTCTTATGTTTAGAAACATTCATGCGGCAATTTCAACTGAGAAATAATTCAAAACTTCATTGTGGGTGAACATTAGCGTATTGTCACGGAATCGTGACGTGGCCAAAGACGAAAAACTTCGTGTAGGGATTTAACTGTTTATTTGGGCGAACCTGTGCCCGGCAAAGGGAAAGCCTAATTACAGCAGCAGTCTTGCACAGATAGCAGTCTCGGACTGATAGCGGCGAACGCAGCGTCGGCCTTCGATCAACAACTCAACAACTGACAAGCGGCAAAGCGCGTCGGCATTTATACCCTTGCCGTCGAATGTTCTAGCGTTATCGCTGGCAGTGACGTAAGTTCCAGAACAATCTGTACCGTTCGCACAGTGGGCGTGATCTTATCGAAATGATCTACTACAGTCCGGAACCTTCTAGAAACCTGCAGGCACGGTTTGCGCCGAGAATCGTGTGGTGTTTCGGAACGATAACAAAAACTTGTGAAATGAAACGTGGCATTGCCCCCCTCTGAAAAAAGGCATCGTCCCGATGCTTTAACTAAAGATGAAGGTACAATAATAATGCAAGAAAATACAATGAATAAATTACAATATAACAATAATACAAAAAAAACACTGTTTCAGTTTGTTAACGTGCATGAAACGGCTTGAGGCGCGGGACATGAACGACTTCAGGTCGCGATCGGCGTCGTTGAGAGTTCGTGATGCCGTCGGGGACAACCTCGTAATCAAGTGGGCCGAGACGTCGAACCACCTTGTACGGTCCGAAGTAGCGTCGCAGAAGCTTTTCACTTAGTCCACGTCGGCGTATCGGCGTCCACACCCAAACACGTTCACCGGGCTGGTATTCCACGAAGCGTCGTCGAAGGTTGTAACGGTGGCTGTCGGTCGTCTGTTGATTCTTGATACGAAGACGCGCAAGTTGTCGGGCTTCTTCGGCGCGTTGAAGGTACTCGCTCACATCGAGGTTTTCTTCGTCGGTGACGTTGGGTAACATGGCATCGAGCGTCGTTGCCGGGCTCCTTCCGTAGACCAGTTTGTATGGAGATATCTGCGTCGTCTCCTGCACCGCCGTGTTGTATGCGAAGGTCACATACGGAAGAATGGTGTCCCACGTCTTGTGTTCGATATCGACGTACATTGACAGCATGTCGGCGATCGTCTTGTTAAGCCGCTCGGTGAGGCCGTTGGTCTGTGGGTGGTACGCTGTCGTCCGGCGGTGGTTTGTTTGGCTGTATGCCAAGATCACTGGAGTTAAGTCGGCAGTGAATGCCGTTCCTCTGTCGGTGATAAGGACCTCCGGGGCGCCGTGACGTAGGACGATATTTTCGACGAAGAACTTAGCTACCTCGGATGCACTGCCTTTTGGCAGGGCTTTTGTCTCGGCGTAGCGGGTGAGGTAGTCGGTAGCTACCACGATCCACTTGTTTCCGAAAGCCGACGTCGGGAACGGCCTCAGTAGGTCCATACCAATCTGCTGGAAAGGTCGGCAAGGTGGATCTATTGGCTGCAGAAGTCCCGCTGGCCTTGTCGGCGGTGTCTTGCGTCGCTGACAGTCCCGGCATGTCCTCACATAACGAGTGCGTCGGTGGTAAGACGCGGCCAGTGGTACCTTTCTTGTATCCTCGTGAGCGTGCGAGAAACACCGAGGTGCCCTGCCGTCGGATCGTCGTGCAGGGCATGCAGCAGTTCTGGTCGCAGAGCTGAAGGCACCACAAGGAGGTACTTAGCCCGAAGCGGTGAAAAGTTTTTCTTTTGTAGAAGACCGTTTCGTAGAAAAAACGACGCAAGTGCGCGCTTGAATACCTTCGGGACTTCGGCGGTCCTGCCTTCGAGGTATTCTATTAGGGCCTTAAGTTCCGGGTCGGCCCGCTGTCGTTCAGCGAAGTCGTCGGTAGTGATCGTTCCCAAGAAGTAGTCGTCATCCGGGTCGTCGGGTAGCGGTTGGTCGACAGGCGCACGAGAGAGACAGTCGGCGTCGGAGTGTTTTTTGCCGGACTTGTAAATGACAGTAATGTCATATTCTTGAAGTCTCAGGCTCCATCGTGCGAGGCGACCTGAAGGGTCCTTCAAGGTGGCTAGCCAACACAAGGCGTGGTGGTCGCTCACAACTTTGAAGGGCCTGCCGTAGAGGTAGGGACGAAATTTCGACGTAGCCCAGATGATGGCGAGGCACTCCTTTTCTGTTGTGGAATAATTTGCTTCTGCTTTGGATAGCGATCGGCTGGCGTAACTAATAACCCTTTCAAGTCCGTCAGCCCTCTGCACAAGAACGGCGCCAAGACCTACGCTGTTTGCGTCAGTATGTATTTCTGTCTCGGCGAATTCGTCGAAATGGGCAAGTAACGGAAGCGTCTGGAGGCGATGTTTAAGCTCCTGGAAAGCGTGTTCCTGCGGCGTTTCCCACTTAAACTCCACGTCGGCCTTGGTAAGGTTAGTGAGAGGATCGGCGATCCGGGCGAAGTTTTTCACGAACCGCCTATAATAGGCACACAGGCCCAGAAATCGGCGCACGGCTTTCTTGTCAGTGGGCGGCGGGAAGTCGGCGATAGCGGTTGTTTTCCGTGGATCGGGACGAACTCCAGACTTGCTGATAACGTGTCCCAGAAACAAGAGCTCCTCATATGCAAATCTGCACTTTTCTGGCTTCAGTGTGAGTCCAGACGTCTTGATGGCTTGAAGTAGAGCTTCAAGGCGCCGAAGATGCTCGTCGAAACTCGAGGAAAACACGACGACGTCGTCCAAGTACACAAGGCAAGTCTGCCACTTCAATCCTGCCAGTACTGTATCCATAACGCGTTGAAAAGTTGCAGGCGCTGAGCAAAGACCGAAGGGCATCACCTTATACTCGAAGAGGCCGTCCGGTGTTATAAATGCCGTCTTCTCTCGGTCTCTTTCGTCGACTTCGATTTGCCAATAGCCAGTCTTGACGTCCATTGACGAGAAGTACTTGGCGTTATGGAGCCGATCAAGGGCGTCGTCTATTCGTGGGAGAGGATACACGTCCTTTCTTGTGATTTTGTTCAGGTGGCGATAATCGACGCAGAAACGTAGGGTCCCATTCTTTTTCTTCACTAACACCACGGGGGACGCCCACGGACTCTTGGACGGCTGGATAATGTAATCTCGCAACATTTCATCAACTTATCTCTTCATTGCCTCACGTTCTCGCGTCGAAACCCTGTACGGACTCTGACGGAGTGGTCTGGCATTTTCTTCGGTTATGATTCGATGTTTCGTGATTGGGGTCTGCCGAATTTTTGATGACGACGAAAAGCAATCTTCGTATTGCAGGAGCAGGGCCTTGAGCTGTTCTTGCTTATCGTTCGGAAGTCTGGGATTGACGTCGAAAGCTATGGGAGGGGCTTGGTTCCTCTGAGCAGGTTCCGCAGAATCGGCGAGGGCGAAAGCAGTGGTGGCTTCGACAATTTCTTCGATGTATGCGACCGTTGTTCCTTTGTTCACATGTTTGTACTCATTGCTGAAATTCGTGAGCATAACCGTTGCTTTGCCTCCCCGCAGCTCTGCAATTCCTCTTGCGACGGAAATATTTCGGGTGACCAACAGATGCTGACTCCCTTCAACGACGCCTTCCAAGTCAGGTTATTTAGGAGCGCCGACTGAAATAATGACGCTTGAGCGAGGCGGAATGGTGACTTGTTCTTTCAGCACATTCAAGGCATGGTGTCCTGACGGCGTGCGCGGTGGTAGTGCTTCTTCTGTGGATAACGTTATCGACCTTGTTTTTAGGTTGATGACAGCACCATGGAGGCATAAGAAGTCCATGCCAAGGATGACATCTCTCGAGCAACGCTGTAGGACTACGAAGTCTGTAGGATAAATACGTCCGTTAATGGTGACTCTCGCAGTGCAGATTCCTGCAGGCGTTACGAGATGACCTCCGGCTGTGCGGATTTCAGGGCCTTTCCAAGCTGTCCTAACTTTCTTTAACTTCGCGGCGAACGACCCACTGATGACAGAATAGTCGGCTCCTGTATCGACGAGAGCGGTCACACTGTGGCCGTCGATAAGAACGTCGAGGCGGCTAGTTCGCCGTCTCGCATTACAGTTAGGGCGTGGCGTCGGGTCACGGCTGCGTCGGCTTGTTCCGCTGCTTCCATGCTGCGTCGTCCGGCCACCTTCGGTAAGTGAGCTTTTGCCTTCAGGGCTTTGCCTGGTTGGGGTTGTGTTCAAAAAGCTCCGTCGCGTCGGCGTCGTCGTCGGAGGATCTTCGGTAGTTCGTCGCACAGCAACCGCACCTCCATCGGTTGCTGCCCTTAGTTTCCCGGATACGGGCTAGGAGACCGGCCCCGCGTTGGGCCAGAGTACTGCCGGGGGTGCGGTGACCTGCGGCGGCTGGGCGACGGCGAACGGGAAGGACTTCGTGGTGTCCATTGAGTTCCTGCCAGGTAGTCGGCGATGTCACGTGGCCGATCTCCTGGCTGCGGACGCGGTGCATTGACGGCGAAGCCACGCAGTCCCATCTGTCGGTACTGGCAATGGTGGTATGCGTGTCCGGCCTCGCCGCAGTGGTAGCGGAGCGGGCGATGGTCAGGGGTGCGCCAGACGTCAGTCTTCCTCGGTGCACTGCGCTGGCCCACTGGGGAACGGTAGGACGTCGGTTGGGGTGGTGGCGGCGGTGGCGTCTGGCGACGGAAGTGTGACGGGGCGACGTTTTGGCGTGGACGGGAAGGAGCGTTGTGGCGCACTGCAGCGGCGTAGCTCATAGTTTCTGGCTCGGGCGGCGGTGTTTCGGGAATTCGAAGCGATTGCCGGACTTCTTCTCGCACAATGTCGGCGATCGAATACACTTGAGGCTGCGCCGAAGGCAACAGTTTGCGCAGCTCTTCCCGCACGATCGCTCGGATCGTTTCACGTAGGTCGTCGGAGTCACTGGCTTGAGCAGCAGCGCATTCTGGAGTCAGGCGACGATTATACTGTCTGGTGCGCATGTCCAGCGTTTTTTCGATGGTGGTTGCCTCGGATACAAATTCTTGGACAGTGTTCGGTGGATTCCTCATTAGTCCCGCGAAGAGCT